TGTTCAATTACAGGAGAACTTGTTTTTGGAAATAAATTTTAAGAAGTGATACAGATAGTGCAAATTGATTCAGCTAGTCATGCAAGTAATTAAACAATATATCACTTCTTGAATTCTAATTTTGAGAAGTGATAAAGATAGCAGAAATTCATTCATCTTGTCATGCAAGTAATTAAACAATATATCACTTTTTGAACTTTATTTTTGAGAAGTGATAAAGATAGCTAAAATTTATTCAGTTAGTAAAACAAGTAATTTGACATCTTTATCACTTTTTGGATTTAAATTTGGGAAGTGATACAGATAGCAGAAATTATCATTTAGTAAAGCAAGTACCGGTATTTGAAGTTTAAAACTGATTAGTGACTTACCAGATTCTTTTAGCAGTAGAGTTATTTCCACATTCTTGATTGGAAGTTGCTAAGAACAATACGTTGGTCGACATTTCGGCATATGGCCGTTCATAATTCTATCATATTAAAAATCTGTAAACAGACATAAAATCAATAAACATTATGAACTAATAAACTATATGTAATCTAATCTAAACTATCATACATATATCAGGACTAAACAGAAAGTTTGAGCTAAAGATTTAAAAGTACCAAGAAGTAGAAGAGTTCATTTTGCTTGTTTTGGATTGTCGTCTGATGAATACATCCACTTTGAGACTGAAAAGGAAAACTACTAATGCCTAGTGCTAATGAGAGTTATGCTAGCTCTGAAACCTTAAAAAAGATCAAAACATGTATTAGTATGTCACTAATATGCCAATGAAGTTCACTTTCGCCAGGTCAGGTCAAGAACCAGTAACGGTACCATCAAGTGTGAGTACATTGAAGAATATTTAAAGGGATAGGTTCATCATCCGTTTGACCATTATACCTTAGTCTCAGAAACTGGAATTTTTGTTATCTAAACTAATCAGTAATAATGTTCACAGTTCACCATCTAGATTTTTGCCTTCTATAAATCCATGTGTGTCCAGAATTATCCACATTTGAAAGTTAAGTTGGTGACTAGTTTTTTGCTTGAAACTCAGCCATATAGAAAAGACATATCTAAATAGACAGTAATTTCCAGCTCGAGGTATATTTGAAGGGATTTTGCAACTTTCATGCAGTTCTAGTACTTCTGAAGACTATCAACTTAGACTAAGGTACAATTGGTCAAACTGTTAGTGAATCTGTCCCTTTAAATAAAAATGTAGAACAAAAATTCCTTATCTGTTATTACGTTTACAGTGGACCTTGAAATGTTAAAGCTGATATTATATTATAGATAAAAATTTGATTACATGCCAACCTTTACTAATATAAGTAGGCTACAAAATTCTTCAAATAGAAAAAATCGTACAAAACCACCAACAGAAGCCACAGGTTCAGGTAACTTCATGTTACAATTTCTTTATTAGCAGTGCCAGTAAGGGGACATATACCCCCCTGAAAAATAGGTTGTACTTCCAATTGTACCCCACTTCATTTCTGACAAATTATTGGAGTCAACAGGATTCTTGAACCAGATGATTCCCCACACCTTATGGAATGTCAATTCAAGTAGTCAGCTGAGAGAGTTTAGTGTTTTTTGTTCAGAGCATTAGGCTGACTTGCTCAAAATGACTAATAAGGATAAACGATCAAATGCAAGTAGAAGGAATTAGACAAGGCTAAATAGTGAGAGATTAAGGTGCTTATAGTATGATACTGAACAAACTTATCCAAATGTAGAGGTGTAAAATCCACTACACTAATTTATTTTAATCATCAGATAATAACTGGTATATAATTTTAATCATCAGACAATTTACTCTAATCATCAGACAATTTATTCTCATAAATCAGACAATTACTGGTAGGCCTTTCGAAATTCAATCATCAGACAATTTATTCTAATCATCAGATAATTTATTCTAATCAGACACCTTATTCTAATCATCAGATGATTTAATCTAATAAGACAATTTATTTTAATAATTGGCCAAATTCAAAAGCTTTATCAAATCATCTCATGTTTACATCATTCATGAAATAAAATGAAATTGAATAACACTTCCAGAACTAGCAATCAAGCCTTTTAGATTTCTGGTGCCAAAGTCTCTGGCAGCTAAGAACTGAGACTAATATTTCCTTTCTTTTAAGAGGCTACCTTAAAATAATGTAAAAATAAAAATCCGAATATAATTCAACAATTACCTTCTAAACCAAAACGGATCTGTTCAGCTAAAAATCTTTTAATTCAACATTGTGTACATTTTGATTCTTGTCTTTTGATTTCCTAATTTTTCACAAACTAAGGGAGATAAATCTATTTTTCTTACAAAATTTCAGAACACAATAAGTTATATGAAATAAGAACTCGGAAAAAAGCCTCCTCATTTAAGCTGAGCAAAAACAATCATTCATACTGCAAGTGTTTTTAACAACAAATATTCTTTATCAGACTTATTAGTCAAAAACAAAATTGAACACCATCCAGCCTAGTTGTTTACAAACCTGAATTTTATTGTGTCTATTGTAGGCTACTTTCTCTACCCATTAACTTAATTTTTCTAATCATTACTCTGGATAAGAAATCTTCACTGTCAGTTAAGACTACCTTTCTAACCTGCTGCGCCAAATAGCTACTCTGATGAAAAAAAAGAGACTGAAGGATTATTGGAATCAAAAAAAAAAAAATTTACAGAAAGGGATGATGTTTGGTGGATTTGGGGGAAAAAAGCACAAAATTTATTTGATATTCATTTTATTTTCTTTCAATTTTCACAATATAATGATCAATATTTTTACAATTACTTCAATATAATACATAAATTTAAATAAATACAGACATACATATTACACAACTTGATATTTAAGATAGAATCTTGCTCTCTTATGAACTCAGGTCCCAATCATTAGAATTTTTCTAAGACATGGGGATTTTAGGAAATACTGTAATCAATTGTAGTAATTTGATCAGATGAGAAATATGTTACATTTGTTCAATTTTCAGTTATTTTAACAAGGGTTGAACAAAATAGAAATCCACTTGTAGAGGAGCAACCTTTTGGATGGTGATCATCAAACACCCTACAGAATGAGTCTCGTAATTGTTTCTGTTTTATCAGAACTAGGGTGTAGGGTATGGTAGGATACATAAGAGGATTTCATAAGAAATTAACCCCAAACTACAACTAACTGTATCAGTTTTCAATAGATTCTCTATATCTATTTCATCAAATAATTAATTCTTGTTTAAAAATATGCCTTCAAGGCCTTTAGAGTACAGTTTTAACGAATAAGATTAAGCCATATTTCAGTTTCATCAAATGTATGGAAGACCCTTGTCATTTTTAGGCATAGAAATATATGACATTGTTTTCATCAGGTAGTTATCATTAGTCAATAGTCTTAAGCACTAATTGTAAAAGATTTGAATTATTTTTCATGTAATTTTCAAGTGCTTTAATTCGATTTCAAAAATCCATAATATTTACCCTGAGTAGAAATGTCTGAAACTGTACATGTTATTTTGCAGACGTAAGCATGATATTGTATGACTAGCACATAAACCAAATCGAGAAAATTCCATGAAACTCAGAGTTCAGAGATCTGTACAATTGGATGGAAATGGAAAGAAATTGTGTAATAGAAAGTAAATAAAGTGCAAGTTTTCTGAACTTTTAAAAGGGAATGTAACCTAAATAATGAAAGAATTCTTCAAAGAATTTTATATAATATTATATTTCAGAAAAGACATTTAAGGGGACATTTTTCAACATATACTAGACAAGAGTTAACTTTGTCTTAATGATATGACTGTCTTACTACTAGCTCAATTTCTTGTATCTGTAAGCTCATCACTTTTCAGAAGCAGAATATGGCTTTCAACTCTCCAGAATAAAGCTCTATATGCTTATGAATCAATTAACAAGGTGAACGCTTGATTGGAGACTTCTGCACAGGTTCCGTTTGTTCCCATTCTGAATCTAATGGAACGGAAGAGGACATGCCACTTCTACAATTTTCCCATTTATTTCTTTCTCTGCCATTTTGAATTCTGTCCACACCTACTATTTTTTTTTAAGGCCTGGAATATGTTCTGAACCCTGTTCCTACTTGTTTTATTGAACATTCTGTTGATTTCATGAATCCTGAATGTGCAGAACTCACTCAATTAAGCGACCCCTATAAGACTTATAATGTGAAAAAAAAAAATAACTGTAAACATGTTATAAATAGCATTCACATTTGACCATTATCCCTTCCTTTACAAATAGATTAAACTCTTATCAAGTGCTAACAAATCTCGGGATGTGCATATATATATCATATATATATCTAAAAAGCATGAAAAAGGGAATGTGTGATTGCCAATATGGCAAAGGAAAAAAAATTAAAATAACAAATTTAACAAAGGGCAGTGCAACGATTCCAAATTGTTAAAAAAAAAAAGTTGAAAATTTTCTTATGTCCATTTTTAAGATAAAACTTAGGGATCCAAAACACTATCTTAAGTCTCAAAATGACGAGTCAGTTTTGGCACCAATCACTTGAAACAGCAGATAAAATTTAATTTTGATACTTTTCTGACTTCTTTCTGTAAATAGTATTTACCTAAACAAAAAGTTCGAAAGTGTTTCTGTAGAGGTGGAAATTTTACTAGCTGTCCTATATCCCATATACAACATACTGGGTATCATTAAATAATGACGTTATGCAGCACAAATTATGAATATCCATCTGGTGGCTCAAAGGTTTTAGGTCTAACTTGACTCTCCACCCTTAAAGTCTCAAATGCCATACTATCAATGTGAATATTATGTTGACACCAATAACTTTTTAAGGCACACTGTTACACTAGCTTATCAAATTAAAGCAATCAAAACTGGATTTCTGTTCACGATCTACTGTTTTCCTATTGTTGAATCAATTATATTCTTTCAATTACCACATCTCACACAATTACCGTACATATTCAAAAAATCTCTTATACAGTATATAGGCCTAATACAGTTGTCTTTAAACTCTACGCTTAGTTTTGGCCTCATATTCACGTTTGACTTTACAAATACGTTTATGGTAGCTCTGTGCCATTGAGTTGACTATAGATAGAATAAAATATGCCACCATTATTATTATAACTTTTTCAAATATCCATGACAATATATTAGTTGACTCCTGAAAATTAATAGAAAAATTATGAAAAACTGTTACATTTGGATAGCCAAAAATTCTATGCACACTCTTGACATTTATGGAAATGTGGATGTATATTGCTGTCGCGGCTGTCCATCCATCAATCCGATGTCAAAAAATCCTTTGTTAATTTAATAGGATATTGTTTCTAATAAAATCTCATGAACAAAATTAATGTTTTCAATGAAAAATTATTAAGGCCATTTCAACTTGACACAGATTTTGAAGCATGGTTAATATCATTGATGAAATATGCAAAATTAATTAAGCTATAAACAATCTGACGACATTTAGCCCTAGCGGCATCTTTATCAGCCAAATAATTATGCGACATACGGTACTAAATTGGCTTGTATCATGCACTGTAAGTCATATTACTAGGTATTCAAAGTATCAGACTTTTCATTTCCAGTATTCAAAGGAGTAAAGAGGCCTATACCTAGATTGAGATCCTATTGTCAAGAATAAAAAATACAACTCACAGCTTTTGATTCAGTATCATCTGTACTGTGTAATTTATTACGTTGATCTTCTAACCAATTCTTAAATGGCAATTGCATCTTTACACCGACCACTGGGATATATCTAAATATACAGATAAATGAATGTTAAATTCAGTTACAGATACCTTAAATTTCATGTAGTCATCTTATAAACAGAAGTTTTTTACTATTAAAACTTGTTTACTTTAATGTTGTGGGACCACAAGAAGTATAAATAATTGATATTTCAAAATGGCAGCATCAATTACACGTAAAAAATTCCGACCTATATTTTAGGTAAGAATTTTTTTTTTTTGAATGTCGCTTTTTTTTCAATTTTTTGTATCCATTGGAGGCTGTGTTCAGTCCGACATTTTATACAGACAAACAGACATGTCTGGCAGATTTGGTTTAAACAACAGCACTGATATTGATAAATGTAGCATTATATAATATACTTACTTAAATAATTTAATTGCTTGTTCTACATGATGCTTACTAAATAAAAATATCACAAATAATTTCTGAAATAAAATAATTGGACATGATTTAATATAGAATGTGATCACTTTTCCCAGTCTTTTATTTTGTATAAATGGCTCTACTCTAATCAAAAATAAGATAAAGAAAACAGATCACAGGTGAATTTTGTACTTCTTTCTATTTGAAATTTTACTGTTGCTGAATGAATCTTCCCATCTAAATTGTTGATGCACAAAATAAAAAAGCTTACCTGAATATGCATTTTGATTATTGCTTTACCAATTAATGTGGCACCAAAAAAGGTCCAGAATGGAACTAAGAAATGCCCACAAGTAATACCAGCTAAATCAAATAATGGATTTGGTATCTGAAAAGTGAATTTCCATGCATTAAAGAAAGTAGAATTTTTTTACTTTATGGCTCCTTTGAAAACAATTCAATTTTTTTGCAGAAAAGATTATAAGTAAAATATAGCTTGCCAGGCAAGTTAACATACAGATAGCTTTGATTGTAAGTACAAGTCTTTGTTTGCTGCCCATTCAATTGTAGCCTGTAGAGTGAGCACGAGTTGCACAATATGGCTAATAGATATAAATATAACACTATTTAACGATTATCCAATCATCACAAAAATCCATAGGCATCATCTTCATAATGACATTGACACACAAAATCTAAATTAAAAGAATCTGTAAAGAATTGTCACCTGTGGATTGAGCACGAGTTGCACAATATAGCTAATGGAGTGAAACATCAAGTCCGACACGATATTTCGGTGAAAAATTATCAGATCATCACGAAAATCGATAGGGATCATCTTCATAATGACATTTACAAACAAAATCTAAAGAATTGTAGCCTGTACAGTGAGCACGATTACAATATACGCCCATCTTATGTGTGGGATTACCAAGTTGATCGGACAACTAGCAGATTCCTTTTCATGTTCATGCAACCATTGCTATCAAGCCATATTTTAAATGAAGGCCAAGATCTGAAATTTTATATTAAACTTACAGATGCACATGCTAAAATACCAACAAATCCAACTTTTTGAACTAAATTATGAACATATAATTTAGCCTTTTCCATAAATCCCTGAAAACAAAATTCACAAAGATATACGTGTAAGTTATAATATATGACACACATGCTATATACAATTCAATATTGTCACTAGGCTATACTTTCTATGATCCAAAACCTTCTTCAATAACATCTGTTTACAGAAGAAGCTGCATGCACACTTCTGTACCTTAAAGCAGTATTTTGGACCTGCAAGCAAAGTCCACATATCATACCCTATAGCTTTACGTTTAATCCTTTGACACAATAATTATTCATTATACATATATTAACCAAATAAGATATAAGTCAACCTACCATGTCTTCAGGATGGGTTTTCTTTTCAATTATCAATTCACTGATTTCTTCAAATTCATCATCATCAAACTCTGAACCTGATAGTCTGGCTGCTCTAGCCATAAAATATGGTGGTAATTCACCAATAGCTGTACCAGCTCCCTGTTAGAAATCAAATCAAATGTCTTTAGAAATTTTGTTTTGGTTTTCTGTAGGTGATTCAACTGGCCAATCATGATCTCAGAAATTTTATATGCAACTCGATTTCAAGCTCACTACTTGAACTAATAAATTGCTCTAAACAAATGCTTGCTGTCCAATTTTTAACTTAACAATTGATATTTCTCCAGAATATATCTATGTATGGCTTGGGAAAATTTTTTTTTGTGATGAACTTCTGTAGGGAAATAAGATCAGTATGAATATTGCACAGCTTAAAACTCTCAGTTACAACATGCTTCAGGTTCTGTTTTCATTCTATATCACTCTACAATGGATGTATTGAACACTATTTCAACAGTGAAAATCTTTTTTTATTGAATATAAGCTTACATATACAGAAATTAATTCATAGAGCAGATACGAAAACAATACATACCCACATAACAGCTTCTAATCTAACTTTACTCATAATAGTAAATAAATTCATACTATCTTCTTCTTTCTCTGGACAGATTATTCTACAATACCAATAAGGCATTAAATTAGACCCCATAATTAAAACATGGCAATTACATTGTAGTTTCGTGTATTCAGAAAATGTTTTCATGATCATTCTATCATTTCGTCCTGAGTTGTAGTTTAAAAAAATGCTGATGATACACATATAATGCTTGCCTTTCTTTTCAGTTCTTATCTTAAAGTTATTACTTACTTGGATGGATAAGGTGGTTCAGGAAAATCTACCGATTTACATTCATATGCAGCTAATGTTACTGATGCTATATGTGGACCCTGTAAAGGAGGAACACATCTCATGGATAAAATGTGCTTTGTCATTCTTATGATGGAGAGAAAGGAGGGAGAGAAAGGAGGTAATGAAAAGCACATAAACTAAACCATAGTTTTAACAAAAACCAACAAATACCAACAAAGTGAGAGCTGTTAGGCCATGAATTTGATGAAATGATGTTGGATTCAAAATTTTGTCCTTCTATTCTGCATCTAATGAAAATGGGCAATGTCATGCAGTATGCAAAGAGGGAAATTTAGCGAGTGCATTTTCCTTATCGTTAATGTGTACAGCCTGTAGCACAAAGGGCCTCTATTTACTGCCCCATATGAATGACTAGAAGCTTTCTCCATGTATACTTATACTTACTAGATATAATATGAACGTGTGTAAACCAGTTCCTAAACCTACAGATGATAAAACACCTAACCCTACCCAATAGGCACACCATAAAAAATGTTTTCTAATAACTTCTACTACCTATAAAGAGAATCCTACATAGTACAACTATAAATTATTTTAAATTACAAAATAGCTTGCCAGGCAAGGTAACATACGCCCACTACCAACTGTCAGAAATGATGACAAAATCAATACGTGCATGCAAACCAAGTTTCATGAAGATCGGATAAAAACCGTAGTCTCTATCGTGCCTAAAAGTCAAATTTGTAGCGTGTTTACTAAGTCAAGGGCAATAACTCTGAAACTGTTCTTCTGATTATTACCAAATTCAAACTTGCCCGAGATCTGAATATATGAATTATGAATATATCTAAGAGTAAACAATACCTGTTGGTGACTGCCTTCTGTGATATATAAAACATATAATAATGCTACTAATAAAATACCTAATAATACACTCTTCTTTCTTTCTACAAGTCTACAATAAAATATACATATCACACTTATTAATAATCAAATTTCAAGTTCGTATACTTTAAGCTAACTTCAAAGTTATCTTGATCAATTGCTTACACGAAAATTTCTGACTTTCTGAAGCGTTGGCCAAAGGCATTCAATTTTTACTTACTGACATGGTTTAGAGTGAAAAATTATTTCTTAGGATTATAAAATGTGGAACAATTATGTAGTCCATGTTTCAGTAAAATTTCATTATTAAAGCCCATATATCATTACCTTGAAAAGAAGGTATGTGCTAAGCAACTGCCTTCAAGAAAAAAATAAAATAATGTCATAAAAGGTTTCTTCCACAAAACAATTCTTGCTCTTTCATTTTGTTCCTTTTCCCTGAGACTTTCCATCTTTTTAGATTTTACAGGACCATTTTTCCCATTGGTTTTCTTTCTATCTCGTACACTAGAAGCACTGTCAGCCATGACAGTGGACCCTTTTAATCTTTCTATCTGAAGAGCAAATGAATGAAGAAATTTATGCAAATTTAGCACAATAATAGTAGACCTACAAAGTATACTTTGACAAAATTATGTTTTACTGTACTGCACTTTAAATACTCAGTAAAGAATTTGAAGCAATAATAATAAACTTTACACAATCAAAGCAATACAAAAAATTTAAATATTATCAAAATTACTATGCACATTTAATATTATAGCAAATTCTCGTGAAATTTTTTAAAATTAAAACCAACAGCCCCGCATAAAACTAAAATCTTAAGATAAATCTATATCTAAAGACACTACCGATATTTCAAATAATAATAAGCATGGATCACCAAAAGTCATACAGATACAAAACTACTAAAAGGATTAATCATGAAATGAAAATACACAGAATTACTATTAATTCAATAGTGCTCAAATATTGTAACAGACAAGGGATGCAAGTGCCAATAGTGTTATTTTTCAGCTAGAATCTTAATTAGAATCAAAGTCAGTTTTTTTTGTGATTTGAAGGGAAAAACAAATTGGGTTGTCCTTAAAAAAGACTAAAACAAGCTCCAATACAGGTTATCATTTAGCACTTGAATTGTTCTCAATATACCTTGTCTAATTTGCTTTTTCAACACTTTTTTGGAGAATGTCAAAATGTAACTATTTAAATTTTTTCAATGCCATAGTATGATGTACAATGCTTTGAAATAATTGTTGTCTGCTAGCCACAAGTATCAAGAGATAATTTGAGCACTAAAATTCAAAATAAATATCCACAAACTATCGACAACAGTTAACTGAAAAATCAAGTTTAAAATCTAACATGTAACATGCTTAATGACATGAAAACAAACCTTTACACCATATTGATTTATCTAAATTAGTCTATCATTGCTTATCAGAGATGATAACATTACTAGTGTACTATTTATGGCCTGCAAGTCAAAGTAAGACACAACAATAGTCAATACCTTGAACTATTAATGCCTTTTTCTCTACATCACGGACAATGTCCAATGAGTAAGTACAATGTACAATCAGTAAGATTATCCAAAAATATAAGGTAACATGCTAAGTTCAGATGCAAATTAATAACAATGCAAGTTTCCAAAATCAAAATTCAAAAACATACCATGGCTTTTAACATCTAAAAAAAAACTGTTTGTGGAAACAAAAATTCATATTCCACAGAGATGTGTAAACAAAATAGACTGAAAATTTTCATTAAGTACCAGGTAGCAAGTATAAATGTACAGTGCCAAATAACAGTAAGCTTCAATAGGAATCACCTAAAGATATTTACATATTCTTAGTCATGAAAAGAAGCCCATTTCAGTACCAGTACAGGGGAGCTTGTTCAGTAACCTAGAATTCCAGGTAAGATCCAGATATGAGATGAATTAGTAAGGCAAGATTTCTGTGGCTTTTTCAATCCAATATCCTTTCTTTAATATACAGGTTGGAATTAAGTTACATTTTAGATACTGGTCATAAAGATTTTTAATGGTTAGAATGCATAAACCAGGTTCTACTAAAATGAAAGTATGCCTATTTCCTCAAACTAAATAAAAGTAAGTGTTATCTTTATCATTTATGATAAATTGAAGAAATACAAGTTTCTTAACAAACTAATAAACAAACTGGCAAACAGAAAAATAAAAGTAAAATCATGATATTAAATGAAATGTGTTAAATCTACTGTCAAAAACCACAAACGATTGGTTTGTTTACATTATTTGCATTCAGGCTTCTTACCAAATCAGATTTACGACCTTTTGTACTTAATCCATTTTCTTTCAAAATTGATCTAAGTTCAATTACTTTGAGGCACGAAATATCGCCCATGGTTCTTTTCCTATTATCAGACATTTCTTTTTCCTCTAAATAGTGTAATTATTCAAAATAACATACTTTTCCTGAAAATGAAACGTGTTCGTCACTTTCAACCGGATGTAACAATTACTAATGCAGAGCTAACCATGAAAAGAGATGTCACCTACTTAGTTTCGTATTTTCTACACAAACTGGATAAAATATTTAATAAATAAAGAAAGAATTAGGTGGCTATAGTTTATTTACCAATCGGTATACCTTTATTTTGACAGCTGTCGTATTCTTCTTACATATATCTTTTCATTATACAAATCTGATCTGACGTCTGGTTCGTCTACAATTTTTGACAAATTTCATCAATCATGCAGTCATAGCTTTCAAAATAGTTTGCATGAGAGTTTTTCTCAAAAATGTGCTTTAAAAGTTGACCGGACTCGTTGTTAGGACTGGGCCCCAGCAAGTGAGAATTAAACCGCAGCAAAACCTTCAGTTCAGCAGATAGCCTATCGATTCATCCAAGTTTTTGATACGTTTTTGGCACCACAAAGTTGTAGGAAGTGAGTTCTCATGGTCATTAATTTTTCAAATTTTCTGAGTACAAAATCTGAGCCCAGGAACCAATTCATTCCTGACGACGGGCCTGCAAACAGAACTTTAAGGGTAGACTCTATTACAGGCAGTAACCAGACTTGATTGCTCCAGGGACAATTATCAATATATCCTGATGATTACAGGAATTTTTCAGGAGGGCAATACATTTTTTCGGGGGATTGCACCCCCTCCGCTACACCCTGCAGCTAAACGCACCTGCAAATATTCAATAAATGAACAAAATTAACTTGCACTAAATATTAAGCAAAGCCCATCCTTTCTTGAAAGAAAAAAAACAGAATAATTTTTTTCACTCAATTCTAGGCCATTATAACATCCCTAGTAAAGGCCTATAGGCCTGCCAGTAGGCAGTGGCGGAGCCAGGTTTACGTCCCAGGGAGGCGAGATATCTGAGGTTGGCCGAATTTCTAACTTAGTTATGAGAGTTTTGCAAACATTGTATGTCATACAATATTTATTGGAAAAAATTGAAATCTGTGCCCGAATTGCCTCTTTTTGGTTGTGTAAAAAAAAGTTCTAAACTCTACTTTCGGGCTGCGATTTCAATTTTTGAAATATGTAAAATATAATCATACGAATGACATTCGGGCAGTGATTTCGATCCAGTTATAGTATAGGATATTCGGGCAAAGATATGATTTCATTGTTAAATTCCAAAAAAAAAAAAAAAAAAATCGGGCCGTTAAAATTTTTTTTCCCAATACCCTGCCCGAAAAACTAGCCTTCGGGGCTGCGAGGGGGAGGGGCGGGGGGGGGGGGGGGGGGGGGGTGCCCCCCTGGGGCTCCGCCACTGCCGGTAGGCATATATACCCCCATCCCTTTATGAGTAAATAGTTTCGGGAGTGTTGAAGAGTGGATGATATAATAAAGCCTGTAGAATACAATTTTATTCCTATCAAATTATAGCATTTTCCAAAGGTTAAAGTTTGTTAAATGTATACAGTAGTTCAAAACTGTCTTATTGTATAGAACAGCTAAAATACCGGTAAGAATATTTTGGCCAAACTACCCAGAAGCATAGGCAGTTTTTCTTCAAATTATATTTTCCTTCCGCACCAGTCCTGAGGACACTCTGCATTTGTCATTGCCATTAACTGAAAGTCAGGGCGTGGCAGCTGCATTTTGGAATTTCATTTGGACTACTCCAGTTGTGTCGCATCATACACCCGAACTAAGCCATCGTCTGAGGCTATCACGATAGCAAGTCCTTTACAAAAGCTGGATGAGGTCGGAACGCAGGCCACGATGGTAGACGTTTCAGCGACTTTTACCGTCATCTGAACTTTTCCCTCTTCGCTGACTTTATGCAAACATCCTGTCGCTTGATCAACCACCAGAAAACTTCCATCTTCATAATACGCCACACCTTTTGGTTGCAGGCTCCATGGTCCATAAAAAGTATTTATGACCTTTCCATTCTCTTGCAGCAATAGAACCTTTTTCTGTGTCCAATCTGATACTGCAATAACGTGTCCAGGAGATGTATCAATACTTCTAGGGTAGGTAACAAGGTCTTCAAATTTACGAAGAACCCTGCCCTGCATCGAAACAATTTCTATCCGTGGTGATCCAAATGGATTGCAGACTCCACATATTAATTCCTCATGATTGATGCATCCTAAAGATCCATATCCGACAGCAGTCCTTATCTCCTTTCGAATATCCAATTTAGGACCTTGACCTGCATCTTCATACTCCACAAACACTATATAACAGATGCCGGGGAATGTTATGGCAATTTCATGTCGTTTACTAGTTAGCACACGGGTAGCATCCCATGGTTCTTGGTATTTCAGCGGAAAAGCCTTGACAACTGGGCCCTTCAATTTGACGAGTTTTAAATTCTTGTTCCATCTGTCCGCTAGAAGGAAGGCGTCCTCAGCAACTGCTGTAATGCCTACAAACTTGCACTGCCTTGTGTCTTGTCGATCACGACACCTTAGTTCAGCAGTTGGCAAAAGTTTCTTAATATTTCCTGTGTCAATATGCTTTCCCTTGTTGAGTCTTTCCATATAGAGTCTGTCTGCCTCTTTCTGCCTATGCTTTGACGTTTGAGGTCCTTTTCGCCGTATAACCATACCGGAGTATTCGTGGTTAGACGGAGTTATTATTGGGCTAAGGTATGGTGCTAGTGTTGTCAATGGCTGATTGGGAGTGGAATATCTGGCGAGATCCCAGGTAGGTCTGCCGTGCTCGTCTAACAAAATTGGTGCAGAAGGTATTAATGGTTGAGAAACAGGTCGAGGAGGTGGTGCTGAGTTCTCAGCAGAATCTGGTGTGATTTCAGCGCCTTCAACAGTTGTGTGTGGAGAACGAATATCACCCAACGATAAATTACCGATAAGGTCATCCAGATTTTCAGTAACATATTTAATTTTTTTCATATCACTTTCGCTTTCCAAACGCGACAGATCAGTTTTGAACTTCTCCACGAGTTCCTGCATGGAACGAAGTCTTACACTTGCATTAAGGGATCTCTTGGTATTTTGTTCATCGAGGAACTTAATATCTTTTGTGCAATGTTGTGTAATGGCTTGGTTTTCATCTAATGCTTCTCCAGCCCAATTTTCTTCCTGTTTAAGAACATCTTTCAGCTTTGTGACCATCTCTTTCTCCTTTTCAATCAAGCTTTTAGTTATACTCGTCTTGATTATCGCAAAATGTTGTGAGATGTCGGATAAAAGTTCTTCTTTTCGAAGACGAATGTTGCTAGGTATGTCAACCAAAGATTCGTTGATGGTTTGAGCATTTTTCAGAAGCGAGGTCATTTTGACTTTCAATGTTGCAACTTGAGAAAATACTTGGTTTTTTGCTTGGTGTACTGGGATGTGTTGTTCTTTACATGAACGATGGTGTACTTGACATGCCGTACACACCCCAACATTGGCTTTTGTACAAAAATCCTCGCAAGTTACATCAGGATGATTTGGACAATCATCGCCATCCATTTTGGAATCTTGTCTTTCATCCGTCACCCCCCTCTGCACCATTGAAGATACCATGCCAGCAATGTAAAAATTATCCGGGAACTCATCGGCTGGATCCTTGGCAGTCGATGATGGAGGACGTATAATTTTTCGACATTCTGGACACGGGAAGGCTATCAAACCCCCTGTATCATTTGCTTTGATATGATCCGATAAACAATCTCGACAAAAAGAATGCAAACATGGTAGCTGTTTTGGATTCTTGTATCTGTCCAAGCAGATGCAGCATGTTAGAAAGTCTTCAGAGAGTTCGTGTAAAGCATCCATCTCTGTTGGCCTCACTATTTAGGACACACAAATATATCTACACTTTATGTCTACACAGTGGGACTACAAGTGTTTAGCCATAATAGGCATATAAGGCCTATTAATTTTCATTTTTTTCTAAATAAGTCTCTGATTGTAACTTACGGATTCGAGCAACGATCTGTACATGCACAAATAATAACAAAGCCAGGCGTACATTGGCTATAGAGTAGGCCATACTCGAATCAATTCTCGTCTCCTTTACTATTGTAGTCACACGCTAAAACTAGGTCATGTAATTAACGGTACACACAGGTATGGCAGAGCTTTAGATAAATAGAGGCTATATTATAAAACCTGAAATACATTAAAAAAACTCCACCTTTCCTGCGGAAAGATTTAAAAAATCTCAAATAAGTGATTGTTGATTGATTGAAGCTTGCCAACTCACAATGTGGTATACGTACCTTATATATTGTTTATAGAATGATAATCTATAATCATTGATGGTGCAGAAAAAACACAAGACCATAACAATATGCTTAGGCTGCATAGTTACATATTTAAAACTAGATTACTCTCTGGCCACGTTGAGTTCTAAATTGAATTTTTTCTCTCATGTCACAAATATTCAAAATATGATTTTCAAGTGCATACCAATTGTCTTAGAATGCCTTTGGGTCCATAAATATATAAGTTTTGAAAATTTTGCACTTGAAATGAGCACATTTCTCTCCAAGAAATTTCATGTGAAAATGACATTTTGAACTGAAAATCTCCCTCTATAAAATCATAGTTTCAAATAATTTCGTTTTCAATGGTTGGCATTTTCATCAATCCAAAGACAATCTAAGACTCTCAGCAATATTTGGAGATTAATATTTCAATTCATACAAAATTGATAGCCAAAATGTGATTTAGAAATTGATGTGGCCAAGCCTAGGTTATCAAGAGATACCGAAAATTAACCTAAAATTCTTTCTAAGAGAGCTTTAGACATATATGACGCAACAATAATCTAAAGCTCTCTTATAATGTATTCTAATGTTTCTCAATTTTGACAAAGTTCATCCTCCAAACTGTACATGTTTTTCGTAATATTGTGTTGTCAATCAATAAGCCTAGTCAGTTCTAATTGGGTGAACTACTGTGAAAGATCCACATGTTGTTTTTTTGCTCAATAGTAGATGAACAGGACACAAGATTTTCATTCTGAAGAGTAATATTGGTATCTGAATAAATGTGAATCGGGTATCGGACCTCTACATGCTTTTATGAAAATCAGAAATGAAATTGGAGTTTTACACCCTTAAAAAAATGAGACGGGCAATGACGTTCACAGTACAAAAAGAAATATTTTGTCAAGACTGTGTTTTGATTTCCTTAAGTCCAAGGTTCATTTATGTGCACAATCTATGGCAAGATGTTTTGTCTCTGTTGAAGGAACTTTATCAATTTGCATATCACAAAAGTCATTTTCTCTACATGTTGGATATGATAATTTTCAAAAGTATGGGTTACTGTTTAGGGAAAGCTGTGGCTATTTATATCTTTCTATATGAAGCACGGATTGTTTCCTTTCCAATTTCAATGGAAAGTTTGATGACACTTACAGATTGTAGAGATTTATCCTGTTCTAGCAGACAGGCAGCATTACTTTTTTTGAATTAAGTAAAAGTATATCTCCTACTGGTAAATAAAAGAATTTGTTTTGGTATTTCTCTGATTTATAAACTGATAATGAGCTTAGCCCAATGCAAATTATCAAAGAAAACAAAAAAAGTTTCAAGTTTTTAATTTACACTTGTGTACACAAATTGAAAACTCTATAAAATAGAGTAATATATAGAAAATGGCATTAATAATAGTTAAACTATTTACATAATGAAAACAAAACAATGGGCAGACAACTCATTAACAATTCATATATATATATATATACATCTAATAGTATATTTCTATATAAACAAACATATACAATTTTATAGATTTATTTACAGTTCTAACCTTTTTAAATAAGCTTGATATAGACGGTTGATTGTACTTTGTATTCAACGACAAAATGCGAGTCTGACTGAGTTTTGAAATATTTCGAGGCAAACATTAACTTCAAAATAGAGACTGAATTTTCGCATTTGGTTATAAACAGACTTATGTATAAGATTATATTGGGTTAAGCTATCTAAGCAATCTTGGACCAATCTTTTACTAATCATAAGCTATAGCAATATTCAAAATAACACAAACCATTAGAAAAGTAAGCAAGTAAGCTAAGGATAGTCTTTCATATAAAAAATAAATTGAAAATTTTGGACAGTCGGATGTGTAAGCTTTAAGGAAAGACTATGTTTGTCACTTTTGCATCCCAACTTCAAAATTTAAAAAACAATATTGGTTTACTATTTTCCATTTTAAATAGGATTAATGACCTGTCATTCCACAAGTAAAGTAGTAGCATAAAAATGAAATTAAACAGCAGATTAGAAAATAATGAAACATATGTAACAAACAATTCATATTGCAGTAACAGTAAATGATGCAAAAAACTTCTTGAAATCGTTTAAACAAATTTTGTGAATACATACATCTTAATATAAATGCACACCATATTTCCAAAACAAATTTGTAAGCAGAAATAAAATGGAAAGCTTCATGAAACATTGGAGATTTTTAATAAGAATGGACACATATAATGCCTGGTTAAAAATTTGAATCAAAAAATTTCTAACCATTATGTTAAATTTGAAATGCATGAAAGGATTTGGACAAAACTAATTCATTGGCTGAATGTCAAAAACACTATTTAAATCTAACTCTTATTGATGACTACATCAATATTGACCAATCAAGACACATTAGTCTGGATATAGTTTGGATATAGTTTGGATAACCTAAGTATATAGTTTGGATAACCCAAGTATACTACAGTGGAGTTTATCCGGTTGCCAATAATCCGATAACACATTAGTATATAGTTTGGATAACGTAATTATATAGTTTGGATAACCTAAGTATATCATTGGGATAAGATAAGTATATAGTTTAAATAACCCTACTATATTGTTTGGATAACCTAACTATATAGTTTGAATTACTTAACTTAATAGGATGGATAACCTAAATACATAGTTTTGATAACCTAAGTTCATAGTTTGAATTACCTAACTTAATAGGATGGATAACCTAAATACATAGTTTTGATAACCTAAGTATACAGTTTGAATTACCTTACTATATAATTTGAATTACCTAACTTAATAGGATGGATAACCTTAACTTAGGATGTTTCTAGCAGTTCTAAACACTTTATGGAATCATTCAATTGAAGTCTGATATCTTCATTAATTCTTATTCTTGCATACAATATGTTATATTTGTTCACTGACTGACTTGTTACTAATTTAACGTTCCACGACAACCCTGAGCACCACACAGACAAGGAATTTTCTCATCTTCCAATGGGAATTTATAATCATAAGTAATTTCTTCATTAACATCAATATCACGTTTAGAATAAATAACAATCTTCTTATGAGAGTCCATGGTAATAATCTTTGCATAGCAATTAGGCTGAAAATAGAAATACTTTCTTATAAAGATGTTTTCTAGTTGCAATGCACATGAAAGTGATGCTGAAAACATGTGTTCCTCCTTGTACCAACGTCTAAGACCAAAAGCTTTTGCAAAATGAATTTAATCATTTATTTTGTCATTTATCTGACCTAGCCAGAATCTTTCCAGCAATAAATCTGTCTTTTACAAGCCAAGCTAAACAAGCTTGCAGGTTCATCACAGATAAACACTACCAATGAAACAATCCACATGGAAATTTTTTTGTGACAAAAGACTCTGGTTAAGAGCCAAAATAAAAACTATACTTACATTACAACAGTGGTTGATAAATCTAGCTAGATTGCCCACTCTAGTGGCATCAATAATAGTATCATGATCAACACGAAATAAATAACTACTACCAATACCATCTTCTTCATATTTCTTCTCTCTTAGTTCAGCTAGAGAGTGACGTATATTCTGACCCACGTACTCAATCACCATCTCATCAGCTGCTATAGGTTCCAACGCAAACAGACCCCAGTCATGGATAGGACTCTTAGCAAATCTCAACTGCTTCTTACGACACTGAAAATGAATTTTTTGTCATTTCAGAATCTTAATGATATAAAGATCTATATCGAACTTATGTAGTCCTCATATAGCCCATTATGACGGTTAATGCCATGCTGTGTACAATGATGGAAAATATGCCAGAATAGCACATCTGGGACCCAGTTTATTGTTCATTAAGGGAAAAAAAGCATTGATTGAATTTTACTGTAGATGTTCACAAAACTTAGAGCATGCTTCCAAATTTTAAACCCAGCCTAGTTTCCAATGAAACATATTGTATATTTTACAATGATATACTGATGAAATCATAAAAACATGATCAAAGCAGCAACTTTCAGGCTACATAAAAGTATTACAGATCATACCTTAAGTTGATTAAATTTGAGTAAATCACTCATTTCAGTAATAGCTGCAAAAGATGACTGCAATCTTCTATTTTCACTTCTAGCATCTCTTTGTGATTGAATATTCTTCTTAGCTGTATCTTGCTGTAAACATAAATAACAACAATTAGTTTACAAGAGTCAGTCAAAATATAATATGTTACAGGCATTGGATAAGTAAGTAAAGAATGATTAATTAATTCAAAGTAGAAAGGGGAAAGACAACTTGCTGCAGGTGACAATTGGAGGGCAATATTCATACCATTTTCTATTGAACATTAGGAAAATTTCATTTTGTAGGTAAATAATATTTTTGAGAAAGTTTCAATCAACACCTGTGGATGAAGAATAAGATATTTGGAAAACTGGCTGCGGAAAAAGAAAAGAGATTATTTATCATACCCGGTACAGTATTTTTTTGTCAAAATCATATGATTGTTGAGCAAAATAAGTAGAATTGTAGAATAATTTGCATACTTACAGCTTTGTATACAGGAATTTTAGATACATTTCTAGAATTCCACATATAAGGTGCTTTTTCTTCTTCAGTAAGTTTGTAATATCCTTCTGTCCTACTACAACCTAAATAGATTGCATAAACAATGTAATAAGAATAATTTTTGATTTTGGCTGTTGGCACAAAAAAAACAATTTACAACAAGTGGGAAATTTCCCAAGAATTATGCCACACCTATTACAAATTACCTTCATTTCAACACTATCATGCAGGGTCAATATATAAATTGGACAAGGATGTAAAATTGCAAAATATTTAATGGTTTATTATGTATGCAAGTCATTAGCTTGTATAACTGGAGAAACTAGGTGAATAATGACTCAGTAATTGTTATCTATTAGGTTTAATGTGTATATGATATATATTCAATTACTAAATGCTACTTATGAATTTAAGTTGATTGAACTAACCTGTTTTATTTGTTCTGGGTAAAGGTGGATCATCGATTCTTCTCTTTTTCTTAGGAGGTGCAGGGTCTGGAATATTAGTATGTGGATGATCTACCCATAATATTGAACTGAGCCAATAAAACATAGGATCATCTGACTGCATGAGATCATCATAGGTCCTCTTCATATACCGGATATCTTCTTCATCAATACCACGACTAAATATTTCAAAAAATATCTGACGTTCTTCTTGATAACTTCTTGGTCGATAAACAGGTTTGGGTTTAGGAGTAGGTGGTGGCAAGATACTGGCCAATTCACGACTGCCTCCCTTTGGTTTCTGATTCGTAATGTCTTTCAGTTTCTCTGCCTTCTTTTTGGGTTTGACAACAGGTGGCTTCTTGGGTTTCTTTTTGTTATCAGACAAATCTGATTCACTGATGTCTGTTTTAGCACTAAAACTTGTAGCCCATGTTGAAGTGTCACTATCCACAGGGATTTCTTCACTTTTGGTGGCCTCATATTCATATTTGGCAGATGGTAAACAATAGCTGTGATCCATCCAGATTTCACGTGACATACCACTGCTCTCTTCATCAGCTGACTCTGTTGCATCAGATTCCATACCACTTCTGTCCACTGGTGGAGCAGCAAAATAATCATGCTCAGCAATTGCAGGGTTGATGTATGGTTTCTTTTCAATGTCAGCTAAAGTTACTTCTGTAGTTTTAGCAGCAACAGGAGATAAAGACTGGGGAAGGTCAGGAGCCTTTGGAGGAGTTTTTGGTTTGCGTCCACGTTTCTTAGGAGCTGGAGGCTGGGGTGTAGAGCTTTTGACAGGAGAAGAACTTGAGTCTGTTGCTGAAGAAGATGATGAAGATGTGGTTGTACTTGCAGACAAAGTTTTGGTTTCTGGGACATCCTTGACTGCTTTTTGTGGGGAAGAGGTTGAATCTGTAGCCGATGATTCATCCTCAGACACAGTAGAAATATCAACATCCATGGATTCATCAGCTCTTTCCACCTTCTCAACTTCTGGTTTGGACACTTCTGGTTTGGCCTCTTTCTTATCTCCTGGTTTGAAAACCTTTTCTTCTTGTATAGGTGACAAAGGTTTCTTTGAAGCTTTGGATTCATCACTGAAAACAGAAGCAAAAGTCCAGTAAATTTCTCATTCCTTAAAAACTATTGGTCTCTTTCCCTTAACATTACTTACTTCTGCAATGAAATTTTGGTAATGGATGATTTGACCTTGGTGAAGATTACCTAATAACTAAACTAAAAAAATAGTGTTCCAATCTGTCTTATTAAAATGTCACATCAAAATGTCCAATTTACCTTTCGTCTTCACTTTCAGAAGATGATGATGATGAAGAAGATGAGGAGGATTTGGTTTTTTCCACTTTCTCAATATCAACATCAATATCTTCTTCCCTAAAATAGTGCAAAACATTTCTATCATATACTTCATGTTCAGGGTTTATGGTTTATTTTTATCAAGCTCTGTTTTCAAAGGATTAAGTTGCATCAACATAATTTTAACAAACTAGCAAGACCAAAACTCAGAGGACAAGGAAGTGATTACAAATGATTATAATTCAACTTATTCCTGAGGTCCCAGTGGATTCCTGGTAACCACAATGACAGATGATGTTCACAAAATTCTAAAGGCAAAAAAAAAAAAAAGTAATTCAATCACAAAATACAAACATACTTGTCAGACACTTCAGCTTTAGCTTCTTCTTTTGTTTCTTCTTCTTCTTCATCTTCACTTTCAGCTTCAGATGACTCTTCATCTGATTCTTCTTCTTCATCTTCAGATTCTTCTTCACTACTATCATCACTTGATTCTTCTTCATCCTCTTCCTCATCTGCAAATTCGTACAGAAAAGTTAACAAACAGAAACGCTATTGTAAATTTAATGCTCAACGAAATGAATAAATATGAAATGGAGGTTCACGTCCACGTTGTGTCTTACTGCACAAGTTCAGCATTAGTCTACTAGAACTCAGTATACAGTTTCTTGTCTCTTTTTTAGTACCTCTGACCTGTGAAGTGGTATCTGGATTGAAGCCAATGCTCAACTATCTAACCAAGTTGTGCACAGCATTCTAGGATTTCAAGAACCAAACAATACCTGCTGATTGTGTTTTCTCTTCCTCTGACTCACTTTCACTATCACTAACAACTGGTCTTTTAATACGTGATTTACGATCATTAATATCTTTCTCTGTAACATAAATTAACAAGTTCATAATGGTGTTAAACACGATTAATAATTTGATAACATTTTTAATGCCAAATGAAGTGAAATGGACAATTTTTGCCAGGATAGCACATTAGCCTATTTTTTATTTCCAGCTGTTGATGGATCTTTAAGGGGGAAAGTCTGTAACACAAGGACCCTCACAGTCTCATGGGAACAAATTGACGCTTTTTCTGTCAGCTACTCCTACCTGCTTCATTGACAGGGACAGTCCCAATTTAGACATTTTATTAGATTCGATGTACGAGTTTGGCATTTATTATTATATTCCATATTTCATGTGGCATTTATATTACTGAACTAATCAACTGAACAAAGCTTATTCAAACTAATTAAAGTCTTTGAAAGGATTGGATAGGTTGTCTTTTAAATTTAAGAGAGAGAGTGTAACTCTGAAACAACTTATTTCTGAAAAACTTACCAGATTCCTTTTCTTTCGCTGTAGACATATTAGATTTGGAATCTTCATCTTCTATACGTGGCGGAGAAGGAGGACGGATTTTCTTCTAAAAAAAAACATCAGGTTATGTTAAAAATTGTAAGTATGCGACAAAATCTAATTTTTTTTTTATCCCATTGAGGTGGCTTTTGACACCTTTTACAAGCTCTTTTTTAATACATTTTCTCTTCACGTGTTTTCAGTTTGAAAAACTGAACATGAAAATCTGAACATAAAAAGCTGAACATGAAAATCTGAAAATGAGCATGGAAACTTACCTTAAATGAGGGTAGTTTTGGCATGCCACCTCTTATACCTAATAACCCACCCATACCAAAACCACTACCAAATCCTAAACCAGCCTGTAATCCACCATCTCTACCCCAAGGATGTTGTGGTTGGAACAGTGATGCTAGAGTTGAACTTAATCCACTTTCATTGGTTGCTGATGTTGGTGCATTGGCTTTATCAGCCGTTTTAATTTCCATTAATGAAGGTAAAGCTTTGATAGCCTGTAAAACAATTTCATGAACAGTTTTAAAATTCTAATTCAATGGAAACAAAGCCAACAATTCCTGGGAGAATGGAAAATTATCAGGAACCAGTCATTAAATTGACACCCATTGAGCATAATGATTGAAGAGTTCATTAGAAGATTGTAATTTTCAATTACTTTGTTTTTTAAGTGGCAGTCAGCTCAATATATATATGACTGCATTTGTCTTATAACAAAAAGATGAAATGAAAACCTTGATTTCATATCCTGTTAACAGAACTGTTCTGAAACCTTACCTTACGTCGCTTTTCTTCACTATCCCACCATGTTTCAAAACACTTAAAAGCTGAACTAACCACCATCTTTTTACACAAATCCTTCTGTAGCACTTGTTTCAGATCTGTCACAAAGTCATTTAATGTTGCCATGAAGAGTTTCTCATTCATAGCAATTTGATCCTCATGACTTAACACATTTCCATTCATAACACTTTCATGATATTGAGTTAAATAATTCTGATTAAAAGCACTATTTAGATTGTCGACAAAGTTCATGTTGTACCCTGGAGGCCACATTCCTGTGGGAACTGATGAAGCTTCAGTGTTATACGAAGATGATTCGTTGAAAGAGGATGAAGGTGTTTGATTGTAGGCGTCTGGTGTTGCTTGACTAAAAGGTGCTGGGGTGGATGTGGCATAGGATGATGGGGTTGGGGGAATGAAAGGAGATGCAGCAGATAATTGAGAAAAGGGTGCAGGTGTGGATGGAATAAATGGAGTTTGGGGCATCTGATTGAATGGAGCAGGAGTCATGTGACCATAGCCTGGAGTTTGTGGAGTGAATGCCACAGGAGTTGGGGGTATAAAAGTTGGGGTATGCTGATTTGGTATTTTGAGTTCACCACTGCTGATTGAAGCTAAACTCATTCTATCATCTGACTCTATACTACCTCGACTATTTTCATCTTGTAGAGGAGTGGTACTATGAGAGTGTTTTGGACTCTCTGAGTGTCTTTTTGAACCCTTAAGATAGGAATGATGTGATTTTTTATCGCTGCGTCGGTCTCGATGTCGTGAGTCCCATGAATTATGATTGGATGAAGATGAATTATGAGACCATTCTGGATGTACACTAGAATACTGTGAGTTTCTATCACTATGTTTATCACTACTATTTGATTTAGAACGTGACCAATTTGCATTTTTAGGCTGGGGAGGAGGTTCTAGAGGTTCCACAGGTTTCTTAGCACTAGGATCATCAGGTTCTCCAGTATTTAATAAAGACTGAATACGTGATTCTAAACTTAAAAATCGTGGCTCCTCATCTTCAGGAGTTTTTGGTCTTGGGGGAGGAGGAGGATCAGGCTTTTTGTCTCTATGTCGACCCTTTCCATGGCGGTGTTTATCGTGTCTATCATAACGGTCATTATCACGATCATATCGATCACTGTTTCTATCATACCGATCACTATCTCTATCATAGCGATCACTGTCTCTATGGCGACTATCTCGATGACGTCGTTTGTCCCAATCTCTTTCTCTGTGTCTATCACCACGATCATGACTGTCACTATCACTTCTATTTCGACCATATCTATCATAGCGATCACGATCTCCATCACGATCTATCTTATGTCTATGATCAGATGCATTGTCTTCACTCTCATACTTCTTGTGTCCATAATCATTATTGGAGTACTGATGAACAAAAGTTTCTGTGTTGAAATTATCGTAATTTGGTATGACACTGGGTTGACTGTTGGGTGGTAGAGGGGTGTGAGGGGGGTTGTAACTATAGCTACCCACACTGAAATTATCAGACTGAACAGAAGGCGTAGCTGGAGCTGTACCATATCCCACATCTGAATGACTCACAAAACTTAGATCTGATTGCGGTGTTGGAAAATCATTTTTGGGTTTACGCTGTCCAAAATCAAATTCACTATCTCCTGGATCATACGCTTCTGCTTTCTTCCTTTCACCATTGCCAATTAACGCTTCCACAATAGTTTGTCTTTCTTTTCCTAAAAATACAAAGATCTTGAGGTACTGGATAGTATTTTCTCAACATAGTCTTTTACAAGAGAAAAGGAGTTTTATAACCTGTGCTGCATCTTTAACTAATGAATGTAGATCGGAATCCACCAACCTGCACTTTGACTCATTACAACCTTTATTTCACTATTGACCCATCAGCTTATATCACTTTTGTGAAAGTGAAAAGAAATGGAATTGTCTTAAAACAAACTTGACACTCTACTTGCCAGTAACTGTTAAAATTATCTACCATAGGCTAGGTTTGAGTAACCCTCAGACCATCCATCCGTAAAATGTTGAAATATATGATAGAATTTTATAACTTACCCATAGTGTCCAGTATCACAGTCATAATATTACCCATTTTAGATGTCTGATGTAATTTATCAACACAAGATTTAGCTGCTTTAGATGATATAAATAACACCTACAACATACACAAACATTAATTTTGAAATGGAGTAGATTATGAACATGGGTAATGCCTAGCAGACTGTAACAAAGGAAATTTGGTTCATAAAATCAGGGGGTTCAAATGTTTTTAAAGTAGAGGGCAGTTTCAGAAAAGTAGGAGGCTGGTCATGCCAAGATTCGTTGGTGGAAGATAAGAGTCAAGGGGAGTTTGGACCTCCCGAAAGAAAATTTGGAAAATGAAACATCAGACATGCATAATCCTGGCACTTGAGAGGATTGAACCAAAATTGACACTTCCATCTTGGTCCTTTTCAGACTAGGATAAATACAAATTAATTTATTTATCAAACTTAAGTTTTAAGCTTTATGATGGATTTCTATAACAACTTAGTGAAGCAGTTTGCCACAATTGAAAATGCACAGCACATTCAAGAATATAGAACAGCTCTACAAATTTCAAAGTTATGAATGGGATCATAATTGTGTAAAAGCCTTGTCACATGATAGTAATTTTAATACAAAATGTGCTTCTAAATATTAATTACCGTATAATACGCACCCCTATACATTCGAATTATTCGGGGGAATATCTGTCACATAATAGTGTACTACCAGTCCGGACGCAAAAAGTAAACAAGTTGGCATAACGTAGACACCATAATTTTGAGTAGAAATACCACATATCCACCAACTTGTCTTCAACAAAGACTTTTTTCTTACGGATATATTTCAATTGCATTTTTTAATCAATTCAAAGTCAAAGATAGAAATAATATATGTTTGTTACTGTTATTTGTATCTTTTCGTGACATTGAGTCTAAATTTTCAAGGTCGTACGCGTATGAATCTCGATTGAGAGAGACAAAACAAATCGATAAATATAGGAAGCTCAGGATTGCGATTTATACAGTTACAAATATTAAATCTTTCTGAAAATGATGAAGCTTTCCAATTCTACCTGATTGTCGATCGGTAGGGTCCAGATCTACCAAGCAAGTTTAAGCCATATCCCGGTTCCCAAAAGCGTGAACATTAGTGTCGTTTTTCATCCGGAGGTTATCAAACAAATCTTAAATCGTCAAAATGAAAAAAAAATGCTTTACTGACGAAAATTACATTCTATTTTGCTTAAAATTGTATCTCAATTAGCGATGTTATATCGGTTATTTTTCCCCTGTATAAGTTGGTCAGAAAAACAAATGCAAGAACGGAAAGTTTACAGGCTGTTATAAAATTAAAAAAGGATTTTATGAAACGAAGATACAGATCACATTAGATTCGGACATCCAGTCTAGCATGATTATCTAGGGTAATAGTAGAAAGACCTATGCAACGGCGTCTATGTCGTTTATGGAATTCGTTTTCTGTAAAATTACGGATACTGTAAAATTTCGATTTATAAAAGCGAAGTAAAATTTTTTTTTTTAAGTGCTTTCAACGAAAAGTAGCCGGCGAAAACGGGACAAAATGAGGATTTCAAACGGCGGTTTTCTGCGGCTGTCGGCTACTTTTGAACCCACTGTAAAATGGTAATCTGCTGACATTACAGCCTGATAACATGGGATCCTGGTTTAATGTCATATATTCCACTTACAAGAATAAATCTAGTAAATAATTCTGCCCAAACTGCATCAGAAATCTAAAATTTATCCAACAGATCATTTATTTTAGATCATTCAGAAATCCTCAGCAGTTTCCGTAAAGCTGAATCTGACTCAGTGATGAATGGTGAATTTCGTTGTGTCTTTTTGGGCGAGACTCTTTACTTCCGCTATTTAGAAGAAATTTGTCTAATGATAAAGTCCTTAAATTCTGACACTTAATGCTATATGGTGACTATTGGTTATCCAATTATACATTTTATTATCATTTTAGATCTGTGTCTTACAAAGTCCTCGACACATTTAGCCCAACTTAGCAAATTATCGCCCAGCAAATAAGTTCAAATAGTTACCTTTCCAACACCAATATGTTTCTTGGTTTTCGGGTGATAATATATCTTGCATTCTTCAATTTTACCAAAACCTTTACACATGTTCTCCAAGAAGTCATTGTTAATGTTATCATTCAGATTGGTAAATGTCACCTCCTTGGGAGGGACTACTGCTACAAAGTTCTGATCATACTGTAAGAGAAAACAAAATAGGGTCGAATTGAGAACAATTATTATACATTTCTTCATAGTACCGTAACATATTTATTCAAAAGTTAATGAAAAATGATTGAGGACTCAGCTTTCCGTCAAAAACCATCTTTAAACTTTTTTAAGAAACATCTAAACAAATTGTTCTCTTGTTAAAATTGGGTACACATATTAGTTTATTGTGAAATAAATCAAAATTTCCAAAATATAATCTTCAAGGTAAAATCAAACTACAAAATTAAAATTACAATTTCAGTACAAAATTTAGAAAAATAATATTGAACACAAAGTTTTGTATGCACAATGTTTGTTCTACGGCAAATATAAAAGTTATACATACCTTAAATTTTGGTACTGGAAGATCAGCAGGCTGCCTTCGACACCAAATTCTCTGATACCTTGGTCTTGGATCTTTCACATCAACAACTTTGGTTTGCTGGAAAAAGAAATAAAAAAAAATTATTAAGCTTTCAAGTCAAATTGAGCAATAAAATAACAAGAGAGAATCATGAATCTAAAATAAGTATGACGAGAAATCATATCGATAAAAAGTGAAACTCCAACTATTTTCTAGTTCTTAGATAGTAAAGGGATGAAAGAAACTTTTCTAATGTAATCTTCTCAATTTTCTCACCCCTGGAACTAAACCATTGAATCTGTAAATCTTCTGCTGTCCCCTGTGAATAAATGGATCAGCCACCAACTTGTAGTTATGTTTCTTCTTATCATGCTGCCCATCAGTACTAGGACCTGGATGTTTCGCTCCATTTATATCTGAAATAAAGTAAAGGTAAAGTCAATAATGAATTTTATTGTCAATGACCATTGAAATTAACCTCAGATAAGTGTATACTAATGACTGTCATGTATGACAAGATCATGCAGATCTTAAAAAATCAGAAAAAACTTGAAATAATCAACTGTTTTATTCTTTATTTACAAAATTATAACAAAAACACAAGCTCCTCACATGAGCTATTTCTGTTTTCATGTTCCATCTTTCCTCAGATGATCTGCCAGGTTGTTGGTAACCATAGTCTTTCAAGTGGTCATCAAACAAGATTTCTGCATATCTATATCTCTTCTATTTCATCTACTGAGATCATTTAAGTCAAATTTTTGCAGATTATGTTTTGTCTGATCAAGGTTCCACCGATTTCCCTGCAATCCCACAATTCAGCTGGTTTTCGTAATTTGATTTTCGTATCTTTTTCGTTTTTTGAAGAAAAATTTTATGTGGAAGTTTTATTGATCAAATCAAAAATTTTCATTTATAATGTCGACACAGTCAAAATTTGATAGTATCAGAGATCAAAATTTTGACAACATTAATACCAAATCAACATGATTAGCTCCATTGACCTACGCTTTGTTATAAGAAGGTCGTTGATTGGCTGCTATTTTTAGATGTTGACTAATCAACGCCAACGATACAATACATCCACACGTGGTTTAAAGCAGTAATTTGTTATGCACTTGTTGATATTCGAATAGAAATCAAAATGAACAAAAAATCCCGAAAATTCATAAAAGTGCTTGCCAGAAAATTAATCAAAGGTTTTTCCTGCTTTCTTTGTGCCTTTAAAGCGAAGCCATGTAGCGTATCTTAAGTAATTGCGTAATGTTGAGTGAGAAACCGAAAGTAGAAAATGAAAAAATTGTAAACAAACTACTGTTTCAGCAATGTTTGCTAATGTTTTCAACAATATAGCCTTTATTGTTATCTTCTTAATATTACTATTTTATGATTAATACGAATCTATAGTCTTATCACATTGTATGATTATTAAGTAGATGGCAAATTAACTTGTGGGCTCACATCAAGAACAATTTAGGCCTACCTGTTGGGTCAAAATAGGCTAGACTATAGCTTGTACTTTTGAATTGATCTTTCTGCTATTTGATAACCCACAATATTTCAACCTTGTTGATTATTAAGGTCAAGACCATTTGAAAAAGAAGAGTTTAAAGAAAGCATTTGAGAAAGCTGTCAATGGGTTGCCAGAAAGTGAACTTCAATCATCACTATTATCAAATTTTACAGATGCTTTTACAATCTTAAGGAGGTAAATCACTTTGTATATTGGCATGGCAATGTATCAATGAAAAGAAAAGAATCACTGTTCATCGATTCATCTGTGAATTCTTGCAGCCCTATTCATAACCATATTATTTTGAGTTATTTCTGCAGTATATCATTCTATACATTAAAATGCTATGGAATTATGGCAATAGTCTCAATACATAGTCCTAGCCCCAAAGTATATGTGTAATTTACAGTGTGATAGCTGCTTTTAATATCTGATTCAGTGATTTGGTCATAAATTGCATTTTGTTTCACTTGTGAAGAATTTCGATTGATCCTACTCACAGAAAAAAATACAGCCATTTTACAGTTTTAAAGATGATTATTTTGTTTTCAGTCAAATAGAAAAACTGAAAGTGTTAACACAACAACTGGCAGCAGATGATGTCCAGACTATAAATAGAAACCCTGACCCTATTGCTGCTACTGCAAGTCACCAAGATGGTCAAAGTCAAGGGAAAACAGAAGGTGAAATCATCAAAATAGAAAGAACTAAGATTTCAGATCAACATTTTAACTTTCCTTATAATTTCTATACCAAGAAGAATGTTTTGATGCCAACAGCTTCCAAAACTGCAGGTAATGTTTGGGGATGATAAAGGGAAATTGGTTTATTTTCTTGCTTTCTTTACCATTTGTGTGTCAAGAACACAGCCCAGGTTTGGGGCTTTGAGGAGGATTTCTTACCAAGGCGGGCAGTATTAGAGTATGCAGATCTGAGGGCAACAAAGCTGTTCGCCCACAATAGACAAAGCTGTCCACCTTGGTGCAGGGGTCCTCCCCTAGAAAATTTTGATATATATTTGTTCTGAATATACAGTATATCATATACCATCTCTTTAATTGCAGTTGACCAGTTCTATCTCAAATTACTTCAGAATCAAAGTGGTATGGCTTCAGTTATAGAATATGTCAAGGAGTATCAGGTAGGCTTATCAAATTTGAATACAAAAAACATTCTTATTTACCAAGACTCATGTTACTATTCATTGATACATTCAATGCATCTTCATAGCAGCTTAAGCAAAGGGCTGCAAGTGTATATAATTGCTAGATTATTTTATGATTTGCTTCCTTTGCTAGTTTACCTCGTTATTTTCTGATATAGTTGTCCCAAGAAAAGTAAAGGTACATGAGAATAAATAGGCCGTTTCGAATTAATGAGCATAATGAGCTCAAATGATTCTAAATTCTTTTTCAATTTTCATTGCATCAGTCTGAAGTCTCTTTATTCCATGCTTCTGATTGAGCTTCTCCAGAATAAATGATAATAGTAATAGTGTACTCTCATGGTCTGTTGGAAATAACGACATCTGCATTGTTGATTTTGACTTTCCTTTCTGTTCAAGAAAGAATATTTGGTACTTTGAAACATAATTGAATGCTTATGCTCACCATCATGAATTGACATTATCACCAAATGAACTGTTTGCATTTGCATAAATCCTCCTATTGTCCTTTAGTTTGACATTCTATATATTTCAGAGACGGACAAGTGAAAAGAGCATATTATCAACTTTAAATAGACTTTTAGTTATATCTACTGGAATTAAAGATAGATCTTTTATCAAGAAATTACTTTATGTATATTTAACGTAAGTATAAATGTCACAACTAGGAGAAACACTGAGTCTGTCAGAGTCCTGTGTGACTCTGATCAGACCTGCCACTAGGCATTGGTAATATTGGATTACAATTTCAGTTGAGTCAAACTAAAGGATGAGGAAAGATCATCTACTTTTCTCCTCAATGACTGTCGCTTTCGAAATGGATGTGCTGAGAGCAGAATCCTTGAAGGTTGCATCTTTCCAGGCATTTTATTTTCTTAATATTTTCTATATTTTTCAATTCACCATTCAGTAAAACAAGTGTAATTTAAATGCTATTTGTTTGCTTGTAGAAAAATGCAACCCTTAGTTGAGAAATATTTAAAAGAAGATAGTGTTCAAAAGTAAGCAAGTAATGATTATCATTTTTAAAGTTGGACTGTTTCTTAGTAAACCATGAACTAAAAAGTAATTGAAATGTAGATACTCTCCTAGTGACATTAGTGAAAAACAAAGAATGCACGTAATAAGAAAGAATTTTATTCCAATATTGATATGATGATGCTGGTACATTCTCCTCCTTGATAGGGACCCAGAGTCCCAGACACATTTAATAAAACAATTAATACTATTGACTCAATATACGTTTGTATATATTGATGAAAAATATTATCAATCACCATCATTGAGTCAATAATATAGATAGTTTTATTGTATGAACCCCTTCAAATACGGACTTGATTTACCTATGGTTATTTATTCCAGGGCATCTAATTTGCAAGAAAATCTACACAAGTTTTTATATGTTTCACATGTTAGATATTTTTCATCTCGGGTAAGTCTTGCTGTTTTATTGCAATTACTATATCATCTGAAGATGCACTTCATAAACTAGAAGATGATAATCATTTGACACCATGAATGTCTAATTGTGTTTATGATTTTATTGTCTATGATACTTTACTATGAATATAATGTACATGGAATCCAGGCTGAAATGCAGCTACAGACAACAAGAACTAATTTGATGTACTTTTTAAAGGCTAGCTTTGTACCAAACTGCATCTTATAAGGCAGATGAAGTAACAGATGTAAAACTGTTGAATGTTGCTATCTATTGTATATTGTAATAATGTATTATATGTTTCAGTCATCAGATGTTATTGAAGAGAAACCATATTATAATGATCTTATAGCATCCTTATTATCATTATATTTAGATTTATCTGTTTATTTATTTAGGTAAGCTATTTTTATTTATTCAGGTAAGCTGAAGGTAAGGTTCAAGCCGTCAATTTCCTAATTGTAGAGAAATATGTTCAAATAATAATATTGAACCATAGCCAAACACAAAAACTAGTTCAAACTGATTAATTAACAATCTGTTTTTAATCAACCATTTTTAATACAAAAGTGTAGGCATATTTGAGAAATATTTTAAGGTATAATTTACGACTTTGATAATGAAAATTTTACATACTGCCCCTTTAAAGATATGTGAACTGTTTGTGAGTACATATATGTTTGCTTTACTATAATAGCTTTTGAATAATTTCTTATGAATTTTTCTTGTTTCCAGAAATGAAGAAAGAAAGGAGAAGTTAGCCAAGTTATTATATAACTTTACTAGTTATATACTAGTCAAAACACCACAGTTTAAATATGATGTTTTATTACAAATAACACAAGTTAATGCAGATAGAATTCAACTGATTCTACCACTTATTAAGTAAAAATTTAGCTCATAATACTGAAATACTAATAGTCATGTTACTATTTAAATATTCAGAATGATTTGCTTCTCATAGTTAAGATTAAGTAATCAAGTTGATGATCAACTTTCACTCACCTGGCTTAGTGAGTGAGACACTGGCTGGCTAACCTAGAGGTTAACCCTATCAAGTTCACTACAGTGTGCTGTGTAGTTAGATTACTAGAAATTGAAAATAGTAGACTACCAGTAAAATGTCGCTCATTGTTGACTGTATGGAAGTGGGAGGCTTTTTTTGATCATGGATTAACAAATGACATTCCTATTCTTTCATTAGAAAAGCATCTGTAAATAATTTTTTTGAAAAAACTTTTAATTTTATATTCTTTAGATTTTGTTTGACTGGTGATATAGATAAGACTGATATTAAAGCCTATGTTAAATATATAATAACTGTTGCTATGGTAAACAATCTGAATTTACCAGATACCATTAATATTGATGATGATATCAAGGTAATTAAAAATAATTTCAATCTTTTCTGTTTGATTTTTATGAAGATCTGCTGTTGCTTTTTTTCCCCTGTGATCAAATCTGTGACAATCAAAAATGCCCAGGAATTGATTTCCAGTCATACTGCTGTATTTCCAATATTCTAAAATGAAACAAATAAAGTTGGACAAAGATGGAGTAAAACTTCCATAATCTAAGTTGAAATTCCCATCAATGCATGAAATCATTCCAGTATTTGGTTCAAATCTACATCAAAGCAAAAAAAAACATTGATGACGCAGTAAATGCTTTAAGAAATTTGAATTCTGCCCTCAACCAATTCCACATATATAGTATTGATGTTAGCTAATATCTTTTGTTTTATTGTAGAAAGCAAGATCAGTAGTAGCTCCAAGTGGTACAATAGATTGGTTGAGAGAGGGAGTGAATGAAGAAGTACTGAATTTAGATGAATTAAACAATGATAATTTATCCTTCTATCTATTAGATAACTTGACAGAGTCTGTACAATCCATTTTAATTGATGTAAGTATTCTTTCCAAACCTTATTTCATGCAATCTGTTAAAGGAATACTACCTATTAGAATAACAGAAGTCTAAAAATTAAAGTTAGCCAATGAGAATATAATATTCATCAGTGGACTTACCTGGTGTCATGATTATAAAACAGAATCCCTTTATAATGTTCATGTGATATTTTGTTTTGTAATGTTAATGTGATATTTTGTTTTGTAATGTTCATGTGATATTTTGTTTTATAATGTTAATGTGATATTTTGTTCTGTATTGTTAATGTGATATAATGTTTTGTAATGTTAATGTGATATTGGTTTTGTAATGTGATATTAGTTTTATATTATTAATGTGATATTAGTTTTGTATTGTTAATGTGATATAATGTTTTGTATTGTTATATTAGTTTTATTAGTTTTGTATTGTTAATGTGATATTAGTTTTGTATTGTGATATTAGTTTTGTATTATTAATGTGATATTAGTTCTGTATTGTTAATGTGATATAATGTTTTGTAATGTTAATGTGATATTGGTTTTGTAATGTGATATTAGTTTTATATTATTAATGTGATATAATGTTTTGTATTGTTAATGTGATATAATGTTTTGTATTGTTAATGTGATATAATGTTTTGTATTGTTAATGTGGTATTATGTTTTGTATTGTTAATGTGGTATTATGTTTTGTATTGTTAATGTGATATAATGTTTTGTATTGTTAATGTGATATAATGTTTTGTATTGTTAATGTGGTATTATGTTTTGTATTGTTAATGTGATATAATGTTTTGTATTGTTAGTGGGATATAATGTTTTGTATTGTTAATGTGGTATTATGTTTTGTATTGTTAATTTGGTATTATGTTTTGTATTGTTAATGTGATATAATGTTTTGTATTGTTAATGTGATATAATGTTTTGTATTGTTAATGTGGTATTATGTTTTGTATTGTTAATGTGATATAATGTTTTGTATTGTTAGCGGGATATAATGTTTTGTATTGTTAATGTGGTATTATGTTTTGTATTGTTAATGTGATATAATGTTTTGTATTGTTAATGTGATATAATGTTTTGTATTGTTAGTGGGATATAATGTTTTGTATTGTTAATGTGGTATTATGTTTTGTATTGTTAATGTGATATAATGTTTTGTATTGTTAATGTGATATAATGTTTTGTATTGTTAATGTGGTATTATGTTTTGTATTGTTAGTGGGATGTAATGTTTTGTATTGTTAATGTGGTATTATGTTTTGTATTGTTAGTGGGATGTAATGTTTTGTATTGTTAATGTGGTATTATGTTCTGTATTGTTAATGTGATATTTTGTTTTGTAATGTTAATGTGATATAATGTTTTGTATTGTTAATGTGGTATTATGTTTTGTATTGTTAATGTGATATAATGTTTTGTATTGTTAATGTGGTATTATGTTTTGTATTGTTAGTGGGATGTAATGTTTTGTATTGTTAATGTGGTATTATGTTTTGTATTGTTAAGGTGGTATTATGTTTTGTATTGTTAATGTGATATTATGTTTTGTATTGTTAGTGGGATGTAATGTTTTGTATTGTTAATGTGGTATTATGTTTTGTATTGTTAAGGTGATATAATGTTTTGTATTGTTAATGTGATATAATGTTCTGTATTGTTAATGTGGTATTATGTTTTGTATTGTTAATGTGATATAATGTTCTGTATTGTTAATGTGGTATTATGTTTTGTATTGTTAAT